AGGAAGAGGAAAATATTTGCTTAATGCGTCATATTTTGAAAGATATCGCAAATGTTTCGCATAGAGGTATCGAGAAAGAATAAATTTATATATGTAATTCTATTTTGGTCAATATATTTTAATAATATATATCAACGATAGTTTTTTTTCTGCAATCTCCACGACTGATTTTTTGCAAAATTTTTTGCAAGAAGTCATTCTTGATGTCAATGGATTGTTAATAACGATTTTGTTATATTTCTTTAAATAATTATTTCGAAGAAGTTTACTGACGAGATTAAAGAATTTTTTATTTATTTCGGCATTGAAATAAAAATCCATGTTTTTTCAGAAAGAACTCATTGGAACGCATTGAAGTTATTACAAATCTACAAATTAATGAGATTTAGCGGCACATGTTTTCATTATGTTCTCTCATTCGACCGCGAACACGATTTAATTGCGAAAATGATCTTGAGAGATATGTTAGTTAAGCTATTATTAAATACGTCATACGTCTTACGAAATCAACAATACATTTTTGTTGCGATTGTGAACGACGGAATCGCGCTTATAAATCGCGCTTTATAAATTAACCAAAATTAATTAGGAGGTAATTTATCGAACGACGCATTTCATTCAGAAATGCAAGAATTAAACGAGTGACATCATCAATAGTTGATAGCAGATGTTTGTGAGTGACAGGTTGGTGAAACACAGGAAAAGTGCAGGCGTACCAGGTGTTATTACATAGAAGTGACATAATTCGCGATTGCGAAAGATTAGCGGGAGTAAGAGTGCGGGGAACGGCAATTGTGCTGCAATTATTCCTACGTTTTTCCCTTCCTTTTCTTTGCATCAGTCGCGTGCGTCGAAGCGGTACCGATCATGAAAATGAACTGGCAGAGGTGCGCGTTGTGTTGCTTGATATCGGAACCGACGACCGGCGAGGTGATTACAATAAGAATCACGTGAGTTTCTGATCCATATGAATCCGTGTCGATATTCTTTCACGATTAATCTAGAACAGGCCTATTCAATTTAAGCAAAAACACAGAGCCATTGATGCGAAAAAGTTCAATGTGATAGAGATTTCATGGACTGTAAAACGTTGATAAGCACCACTCACAGACGCATATCAACGCTTTACAGTCTCCGAAATCTTACCCATATTAATTTTTTTTTTTTTGCGTCGATGGCTCAAAATGGACAGATCTGTTCTATAACACAATAGTCATTTCTGTTGCAATGAATCGTCTCGTAATTATACCAGCGATTACATGATTGCGACTGGCTATTCACTTTTCAACCAGTTACGGCAAAGCAATCGATGACTGCTTTGTTCTAATTGGTTAAAAAGTAATCCCTAATCGCTAATCACAATTGTTGCTATTATGCAATTGTGATTATGGCTTTACGCGATTGTATAATCCGGACATTTTATTCTCTTTGTTTTATGAAACTCAAAGTTATTACGTGATCAGAACTTGTTAGACATTTATAAATACATAGCTTATTGACACTAAAAATCCCTCATTAAACTCTACACTTAAAACTTTAACTTGAAACGTTGAGAGCCTCCTTGAAGATATTAAATTTCGCTCGTTACATGAGATTCGCTTTCTTTGAGAAGCTTTCTTACAAGAAAAAAAAAAGACTTATAAGGCCGTGTGACACACTATATAGAGTAATACTCCGTAAGTCACGTTTTACGCGACAATAATCCCTTCAGTCGTCGATTCTGTTCGATCGTTTCCGCCTGGAAACGTTCGAACAATTCGATGAAGTAGAATTCGTTTTAATTAATATCCGCAGCTTTACCTTTATACACCGCCAAATCTATATGCTGTATATAATGAGATACATTTACACAATCACATACAGATAAGCGAATAACGTAATGCCCGAAGAATCACACTTCGAACTAATAAACAACACTCTTTGGACGATCCGGCTACAAATTCCTTTACACTGAGCTGTCGATCCGTGCCGGTCGGTTCCTTAGCGGGAGCGTGTCGAAGGTGAGACGACTAAAGAGACGGTTAAAAGACCTCGTAGACGTTGTTGTCCTCTCGTATGCTGACCGTATACCACCATCTGGGCGTTTCTCGTGTGCATTGTAGGTTGCTCGAGTTGGGCCCAAAGCTAGGACACCGGGTGCATTTCGCGGAGGGCACGAACTTAAGATGCCGCGAAGATCCTATACCGTCCGATTCGAAGATAAGGTCAGAAGTTATCTAACTACGGAAACTTGAACAGCGATCTCTCTCTTTTTAGACAAAGGATTACTCGATTATTTGTAGAAGAAATTTAAAGAAGAATAAGAGAAAAGCTTCAGTCCGATTCTTTTAACAAAGATTACTCTTTTGAAAAAGATTTTTTTTTTAACATCTTGGCCGTTTGCCAAGTTAATGGACGTTTCAATTTGTGTCGATAACATCTTGATTGTTATCGACTCGATGCTTTCATTATAATTTGCAACCTACATAGCACTAACGTCTTCCCGGCAGATTTGATTCTTTGAGGTCATGTGCCGACCACACGTTATGGTTGCAGTTCAGCGTGAATCCAACGCGAATACGAGAATTTATTTCGCAGCGGTGATTTTCGGACTGATATTTGCACATACATACGTCGGAGAGAAAGAGAAGCGTTCAGTAGAGTGGATGTAAAATTTACTTTATGATGTTTACTTTATGATAGTTTATTTTATAAAAGCTATATACGCGAGAGATGGAAGCGATACTTTTTTTTTAGAACAAAAGAAAGGAAAGAGAGGAAAAAGGAGAGATAAAGCGAGAGGTTCAAAGTATATCCATAAATCCCATTAAATCTGTATTTTCGACTGAACAAACAAAACGTTGCGCGAAACACGATATGTGCTCGAATATCTCAAATATCTGAATAATACAAACGCCATTAACACTGCTCGACGACTGCCAGTCTCGTGTAAAATCTCTCTCCTCTCTCTCTCTATTTTATTTTTTACCGTATATGAACCCCGATTCCTGACCAATGCGCTTTATATTATTGCGCGCATGGTCGTGACACCTCTCTGAGAGGTAATCCGTTGCGGAGGGCGCATGAGCGGAGCTTGACAAGGTGGAGTACGGGGTAGGACGGGGGCGCACACGTACAACCGCCCGCGTTCTCTCTCACCCCTTTCGACATCGGTCATCGACGAGCCCTGGCTTGCGTTAGTCCGACCGGCAATCTCGCCGCGCCGCGTCGTGTCGCGTCTCCGTCGCCTATACCGCCTCGCTTAAGATCGTATCATTGTACGTTTTTTTTTTCCCCTCGCAGGTCGCAAAAGAACGCGACTTGTGCGGAGAGAGAACACCGTCCGAAATGCACAGGTTTCGAAAAGAACTGCCAGCGGAGGACGAAAATTTTGGAGAGGCAGGACCGCGTTGAAATTCACCCCTTGCGCGACGACGCGTTTGATTTCGTGGACGGTGCGTAGGTGTTTCTTCTTACCCGAAAGATATTGCGTTTGAGAGAGAAAAAGATAGGAAGAAAGAAAGAGAGCGAGGAATCTCGAGGGTGGCAAGAATGGAGCGGTGCGCGAGTTTCCGTGGAATGTGCTCTATCATTGATCGAGTTTATGGATCGACCGACGACGTGGCGAAGGTCGTTCGAAAGAACGAGCCTCGTTGGTGAATATTCGTCGATGTGCTCTTGGCATCGAACGACCGGCCGTTCCCAAGAAATTTTGACCTTCGTTATCGTCGACGTTCGACAGATTGTCGATATGTTCAACGAGGAATCGCGCTCGTCCGATGATGAGCGCGAAATCTTGAAGACGTTCGAGTCGATTGGAACATCTCGTGACGGTGACAATGAGGATCAATCGATCTCCGCTCACGGAATCATCTCGGCTCGATTTCGCTTCGTACTGCGACTGTAGTGCACACGACCTCGGCGACCCCGATTATCACGCGTCACTGTGAAAATAAATTCCAGTGTTGGAAAACTCGATCGATGATGCCAGTCACTCAAGAGGAGAGAACCGCGCTGTGAGGGGTGGTAGTGAGGAAAGAAAAAAAGGAGACAGGAAGGTAAAGAGAGAAACAGTGTGACAAAGGAGGAGAGAGGAAGAGAGAGAGAGAGAGAGTGATTGAGTGCAAGAGTGGATGCGAGGGTGGACACACGCAGAAAGCAAAACAGATGACGGATGAAAATTTGTCCATTTCGATTAATCACCGTCAAGTTTGTCAGAATCATTTTCGTTAAATATAACGAGATACTGTTCCTAGAATTCACGTGTCGCTGCGGTTATCACGTTTGATATATTTCGGAGCAGATAAATAAAGCTTTGCAGCAATGCTGAGGGATAATTGGAAACTTCGTATGCATAATTTCAAATTAATAAGCAAAATATGTAGAAGCAGCGAGCAAACATTTGGAGCAACATCGATTGGCAACGAGTCAAAATCAGTGACCATACGTTTCTATAAAACTAGAATCGCTTCCAAGTAAACAGCTCTTTATACGAAAAATTGTGTCGGACATTGAAAAACAGCTGAAAATCCCCAGCTTATATTTCTTCTTTCCGATATCAACGAACGTTCCTTTGATTCTCTTGATAAATTAATTGCTTTTTCTTTTCCATTATGATTAGACGATTAACGCTAATTTATTCGAATGATTTTTGAGGACTTCTGAAGAAAGGATTTCGGGGTAACACTAGCCGGCAAAAGTACTTAGAATGGGCTGCAAATCGGCAGCTAAGAAGCTGGAAGAAGAGACGGTCGCGTCGTCGTCGTCGTCGTCGTCGTCGTCGTCATCATCGTTCGGTTCAAGTTGTAAGCAAGCGATTCAGTCGCCGTTTAAGCGGAAGACAATCCAAGAACAGGGAATAAAACTCGACGACATATCTAATCTCGGGGACGAAGGAGAAAGCGAGGAAAGCAACACGGCCATTTGTGTCTTATTTAGAAGCGTCTCATTTTTATTAAGAGAGAGCAGCGAAACGTCCGTTATTGCGGACGGCAGTGTCACCAGGTAGCTATTAAGCGACGATGCAGAAACTGCGCTCGACCTTCAAAAGGTCGCGCACTCCTACGGGAGCAGAAATGAAGTCCCAATCTAGCCTCGAGGTACCCAAGCAGATCAGGTCGGCCTCCTTTGACGAGATACAATTGCAGACGAAGCGACAGGACGACCGTACCTCCTCATCGTCCTCCACGTGTTCTCCGGCGAGATCGCAAGACTCGATGCGCGGCAGGAGGGGCTCGTCGACTCTAAAAGTACCTCAGCTGACCGGTCAGCGTTCCAAAAGCTTCGATGCGTACTCTGCGAGTTCTACTTCGTCCCCGAGCCAACTTCCAGCAGGTGGAATTGAGCGACCGGAAACTCCAACCATACAAGTCTCCGGGTGTTATCACTGTGCCTGCGTCGAGGAGTATCGGAATCTCTGGCTGGCCGAGGACACCTCCAGAGAAGAGGTCGATGACGAAGAGGTCCATGAGGCCGATAGCTCAGATCTCTCCGAATCGGAGGATGACACTAAGAGGGAGGGCAGTCCAGAGATCCTGGTCACCCTGACATCCGATGACTCGTGCGAGTCACAATACGTCCCATCCGAGGCAACAAAAGACACCCCTCCCGAGCCGGACTTCGAGGTCAGACCAGAGTTCCCGGAGAGGCAGCGCAGGCTGTCCAGGCAGGAGGCCTTGACCACCTTCCCCCTGGAGCACCTTTCCGCTGTCGTGTCAACCTCAACTGCGTCAGAAGCGGACGATGACGACGACGACGAAGAGAATGAGTCCGTCGAGCCGTGTAGATCCAAGTTCGTCGTACGTGACATTTTCCTGACCGTGCCGGAGCTGAAACGAGACCGCGCCGCTTCCGTGGACTCGTGTTTCAATAACAATAAGAACGGCGGCGTAGTCGACGCGGACTCGTTGGCAGTGCCGCAACAGAGCATTAGGTCGAAGAGCGGCGACATCGTGCTGCCGACGGACGCGAGAACGAGGTACACAGCGCTGCTACCTGGAAAAGAGTCACGACCTCCGATAGGGTGGGTACGTCTGATTGGATGGAGTCGCGACCCTCCGGAATGTTCTAAGCACACATAACACGACGTAATGCAGGATTGCATTGTGATGAGCATGTTTCTAAGTTACACGTCTTCATTTTGTTGCGCGATTGTGGCATTTATAAATTTGAGTTATTTATCGACAAATATAAGAGGCATAAGCGGTCTTTTGACGCAAGTAATATCGCTGCTGTCTTTTTTTTTTTGTTTTAACAATTTCTTTAATTGCATTTGAGCTATTGTGCATGAAATGTACTGTATAAGATGATTTTGTTTGCGTTTTAGTGTTTGTATCAATTGTGTGATGAAGTTACGTTATCTTGAGTATAATATAGGTACATTATTATAGATTAGAAGGCTGGGTTGTTCCACCTTTCGATAAATTTCAGTTCACTCTCTCTCTTTTCCACTTTTTTTATCCATTGGATAAATTACCATATAGTTTATCTAAAGAGGGAGCAACCGACCCTGAATCTCGTTGTTAGAGAAGATGATAGAGGTATAGACCTGTATTCAGAACGCTCTTTTATCGATAAAAATACGAGCTCTTATGTTTGAAATTCTATAGTATATGTAATGTGAACTATATATGCTAAAATACGCGCGTGAATATCATAAAAGCACATTCTTAATACAGGTCATAGAATTTTCTGGGATGAAAGTAGGTACTTACATTCGTATATTAAATTCTTTTTCTTAGAAATGAAAATTTATAGTCCATATATAACATCGATTCGTACTATTAGAATGCCAGTAAAATATAAATGGAATTGAAATAACTCGTAATTAAATCGCAGTGTTAATTTTACAAATTAAAAGCATACAAGATATTTTATATTCCTACCATCTTCTCTGTTAATTCTTTTTTCATTTATTACCTATTTATATTTTTAACTTTTTATATTCTATATATGTAATATAGTTAGATTTAAAGATATCTTTGGTTTAAAACGAAAACTTAAATATTTTTACTTAAATATGATAGGTGACGTTATGAATAGAATTCTATCCTACGTTCTGACGCAATTATAGATCACCTAAAGTGGGTTTTAAAAAATAAGTAGGAGAAGGCTTTTCTTATCATGCTACTATTTTCGTCTCTTTCCTCTATTTACGATTCTATTTAAAAGGCCTGTATAGTGCTACTTCTCATGAATTATTATTTAAGACATTTCCATAAATTAAAAAGATAACACTTATCTTCGAAAAATTATATTTATTAAAAGACAAGGTAATCTATTTAGATTATATTTAGAGGATATTGATCGAAAAAAGCTATACATACGAGTATTGCATCTTTCATGCAGTGTATGATTATTACTGTTATTTATTAATTATTACGCAAATCGAGATGTCAAACATCAAAAAAGCTCGCATCTAAAAGGCTACTGTAGTTGTGAAATTTTTATATTCTATTTTTGAATGCACGTTTCATCAGGCAGGAAGGTAGACTGGTAGGCTTAAATTATTCATAAAGCTTAAATCTTTGAAGACATCGTTACTATTTCAAAGATACGACATAATTTCGTTCTCGCGCTATCGGATCTTCATGAAAGAGGCACGAGCAAGGGCAGTTTGAATTATGTATACAATGATATATGTGTTCTGTTTCTTTTGCGTCCTATCTTATTTCTATGCGATACGGATGAACACTATACATATTTAAATACAAACTTATCAAAATTTCATTACAAATAATTAGTAGAAAGTAGAGTGTGAAAATTATTTTTCTTCGCGATCATTTTTTTAACTTGGCACAGTAGAATACAATGTTAATGAAAGTTAAGTCGAAATAAGTTTTGTGAGCGCTTCATGTGATGATTCTAGAGGAAGAGAGGATAGTGGAGAAGATAGTAGAGACGGGGGTAGTTCGAGTGGTCATCGTGAACCTCGGTCGACTCCAGATTGGGGTCCAAATGCGTTTAATGGGGAACATCTTTGGGTGCCAACCGCTACATCCGGTGATTTCTGTTACGTTAATGACTGTTCTGTAAGTCGCAAAAATAAAACGAATGATGCTTAAGAATGACAGACACATTTCAGATTTCGATTAATCGGACCGACATCTCTCGTCCTTTCTTTTTTTTCCATTTAGAAACATGGACCCCGGTTGAAATGTCCGGCTTGCCGTGTAGTGGCTCACGCCTGTTGCGTCGGAGGTCTAGAGTTCGCTTGCAAGCCGAGCTTTCGTGATGTAGGTGTACGTCAGTACCGCGAGCAAACGACAACTCATCATCACTGGGTTCATCGACGGTCGCAGAAGGGCAAGTGTGCCAACTGCGGCAAGTCTTTTCAATCGAAGCTCAGCTTCAGCTGCAGGGAAATCGTAGCGGTGAGCTGCAGTTGGTGCAAAGCCGCTTATCACAATAAAGAGTCGTGCTTTAACGTACAGAAAATAGGCGAGAGCTGCGAATTGGGCAGTCACGCGTCGATCGTGGTACCGCCGTCATGGATTGTGAAACTTCCTCGTAAAGGTAGCTTCAAGAGTAGCTTGAGAAGATCGCCCAGAAGAAAGAAATCTAGTGATGGCTCTTACCGCCGGAAAAACAAAGAAAAAGAGAAGGAACAGAAAGAGAAAGAGAAGGAAAAAGATAAGGATCAGGGAGAGTTGTGGATTGTCAAGCCTATTCCGACGGCTACGGTGAAGCCGGTGTTGGTTTTCATAAATCCGAAATCCGGCGGTAATCAGGGAGCGAAATTGCTACAAAAGTTCCAATGGTTACTCAATCCAAGACAGGTTTTCGATTTGACTCAGGGCGGTCCAAAAATGGGGTGAGTAAATCTGTTAAATCAGAATAGATATGAACGACTGGCACGAATGACACATGATGTAGAAAGGAAAGAAAAGACTAAATCAGTCAACTAAACAAAAATATATCGGTCATCTTGCAGATTGGAACTCTTCAAGAAGGTTCCAAATTTGCGCGTGTTGGCTTGTGGCGGCGACGGTACGGTCGGTTGGGTTCTGTCGATTCTGGATCAAATCGGCGCTTATCCAGCGCCAGCGGTTGGAGTACTTCCTCTGGGTACTGGAAATGATCTAGCGAGAGCATTGGGATGGGGAGGTGGTTACAAAGACGAGCCGATCGGCAAGATCTTGACAAGCATAGGTGACAGTGAGACCACCCTGTTGGACAGATGGCAACTGAAGGTCGAGAGGAATCCCGACTCCAAAAACGACGACGATGGCGGCAAGGGCAAGGAAAATCTACCACTCAACGTTGTTAATAATTACTTTTCCCTCGGTGTGGACGCTCACATCGCCCTCGAGTTTCACGAAGCACGAGGTGAGACCCGATTTTAAATTTTTACTCGCATCAGCAAGGTAATCATCAGAAATGTCCCTCATCGAGTTTAATGGGCTTCGAGTATATTATAGAACATAAAAAATACTAGACCTATATTTAAAAAATAAAGGTTTTTTCTTCCCATTTCAAAATCGATAAAGGACAATTTTGAGGATGATTCCTTTACAAATTACATTGATTACATCGAGCTAATAGACATCGTAATCCTAGAGCCTAATTCAATAATAGGAAATCGATTGTGTGGCCGCTTAAGATTTTGTATTATGATTTCAATGAACTGAAAATGCGTTGATCAATTTAGAAGATTCTTCTTTTCCTTTTTTGTTAATTTTTTAATTAAATAACATTTCTATATCTGATATAAAATATATTTTATGTAAATAAGGATTTTATTTGACAAATACGCTGCGACGCGTTTATAGAGGCTCATCCGGAGAAGTTTAACTCCAGAATGAGGAACAAATTGTTTTACGGACAAATGGGTTGCAAGGACTTGTTACTCACAAAATGGAAGGATCTCTCGGATTTCGTGACATTGGAATGCGACGGTCAGGACATGACACCGAAATTGAGAGAGCACCGGGTCCATGCGATACTGTTCTTGAATATCGCTTCTTACGGCGGTGGGACGCATCCGTGGAGTGCGGGAAGTGGCACTAGAGAACCCGCCATGGACGATGGCTTGATCGAGGTAGTCGGCTTGACCACATATCAGCTGCCTCTTCTGCAAGCACGTGGACACGGTACATGTATAGTACAATGCAGCACGGCCAAACTGGTCACGACAAAAACTATACCAATGCAGGCAAGCGTGATTTTTGTATCGTACTTAAATAGTCATTTTTTTATAACATTTCGCCTACAAGTATCTAAAATGATCTTATTCCGTATTTTTTTTTTTTTTTTTTTTTTTTTTTTTTTTA